CCAATGAGTGTTAAATAACTGAAAGGATGAGTCAGTATCTAAGCGCACTGTGCTCCATGCTAAGATTTACCAGTGAACATGACAGATACGGTCTCTGCTTTCATGGAGCTTACAGTCCTCAACAAGTATCAAATGAAAGAGATAGAAAAAAATGTATTTAACTAAAGATGTTTATCTGATTAAATGCCTACCCAATGCAGGAACCAGCAAAGCCTGATTTCTATCAATCTTTGTTGTCATCTGATTGGTTAAAATTACCTACAAAAACAAAATGTGAGAAAATTAGGTGAGTCTCCCTCTAAAATTATCAAGTAAACAGTCCTGGGATTTTAGTATTCTGAATATACTCTAATTTAAAGAGAGACTTATTTAGGTAATAAAAACTTTTCTGATAAATTTTTTAAGTTTACCCATAAAAATGAGTAAAACTATCTGAAAACATGATTCTACTGAATATAAAACATTTTTAAAAGATAAGAACAAAGACGCTCTTACTGTAAAAATCAATGAAGAAAAATATAGTAGATAATACATAAAGATTTAAAGAGACTGTGTAAAAACTTCATAACTGGGAGCATTGGAAACATGGGAGTCTGCATTCTTTATTCAAGGGAATATAAAATCTTTAATAAATAACTCAAAGTCTACATTTCTACGAGAGAGACAAATACAGTATTACCATTTGTGATTATATAGAAAAAAAAAGAAACGGAGGTAAAGAATTATGAGAAGAGACCTGAAATTATATAGAGAGCACAGTAGAAGAACTGGAAAAAAATAAAACCCAGTTAACAGATTCAAATTATGACTATGCCAATCTGCTGGTAATAGAGATACAGGTGTTGCCTTACTCAAAGATGGCCCTCAAGGCTAAACACATTGCTAATTCTTTTGGATTAAATACAGGCCTACAGAAAAGATTCCATGTTTAGAAAGAAAATAATTTTAAGGTAAAGAAAAAGAAAGTGTTTAAGGCTGACTTAACATAGTAAAAGTCAGATTATCTGGCATCTTCTCATCCAAAATTCTCCACCAACGGTTATTTAAAATATTCTTCTAATACAGATCTTCCCTCCAGAAATAAGACGGATACTACTACAAGCTGAAACTGATAAAGAACGTCTAAGAAAAGCAATGAGAAAAGATACCTACTCTGAAAAGTCATCAATTCCTTAAGAAAACTGAGAAAGAAAACGCTGTTTGGCTGTTCCCAATGCAGAGGTCAACACCCTAAAATTTGTTTTTATCTACAAAGGAGAAACCTGTGACCCATCTAGATTTCAATTAGGCTCAAACTGGATGACACAACTTTCTTCTAGTTCCTCTACCCTTAAGTGCCACAGTGGTTTCCCATCTGTTACCTTCCTCCAGGCATCTTAGAACAAGCTAAGCAGGAATTTAAATTGGTAATTAACTGAACTATATGTCTAACTGGCATCCCCAATACATTGAATAATGCTCTTTGCTATACATACTATCAAGTGCTTAATCCTAGTAACTGCGATATTTATTTACACCAACACTTTTTGGCTAAAAGTGCCCTATCCAGTAAAGCAGCCATCAGCCACATACAGCTTCTTAAAACAAAATTAATTAAAAACTAAAAATTCAGTTCCTCTGCAGCATTAGCCATATTCCAAGTGTTCAAGAGCCATGTAAACTACTACATCAGACTGAGCATTTTTATCTTTGCAGAAAGTTCTATAACACAATATTGGTTTAGTTTATCTATTACACACCTTGAGGAAACTGTAAATAGATGTGCTGTGCTGGCTTACCAGCTGTTCAACATCCCAAATTCAGAATTTGCTGTGTTAGTAGATATTTATAAAATAATTACACTATTGCAAAAAATGTTGGGTTTAACATGATATAAACAAAAATTATTGCATGATTACTCCAAGCTCCGAAAGAATGAGTCTTAAAATAGTGAAGTAATAATCATTTTGAAATTATGAACTTCACTGCTTTCAAAATACTTCTGCTACCCAAATGTCCTTCAATGGGTGAATGGGTAATCAAGATGTGGTATATCAATACAATGCAAAATTATTCAGTCATAAAAAGAACATGGGTACATGCTACAACATGGATGAATCTTAAAAACATTATCCTAAGTGAAAGAAGTCAGATATAAAAGACCACATAGTGTGATTCTATTTATATAAAATATCCAAAAAAGACAGATCCATAGAGACAGAAAGCAGACTAGTGGTTGTTAGCAGGTGAAGGGAGAGTGCAATGGGAAATGATGGTTAATGGGTAAGGGATGACTTTGGGGATGATGGAAATGGTCTAAAATTAGGTAGCAGTAATGGCTGCACAACTCTGAATATACTCAAAAGCACTGACTTGTACACTTTAAACTGGGAATATGGATTAAAGTGCTGTATCAATATTAAATGTCCTAAATTTGATAACTATACTGTGGACTGTGGATACATATGAGAATATTCTTGTCCTAAGGAAACACACACTGAAATATTATCAGGTAAAAGAATATGATGTGTGCAATCATTGTTAAATGGTTCAGAAAAATATATACATAAACTGTGTGTGTGTGTGTGTGTGTGTGCGCGCGCGTGTGCATGTGTGCGTGTATAGAGAGAGAGCAGGGAGAAGGAATGAGTGATAAAGTAAATCTTGGGAAAGGTTATATGGGAGTTCTTATAGTACTCAAATTAACAAAATAAATACAATTTTATCTTTTTCTAACTGAATTAAAAAAAATAAATACAATTTTATCTTTTTCTAACTGAATTAAAAAAAAAAGAATTCCCATTCATTGCTGTAGAGAACATACTTTGGAATATACTTTCTGAAGGTAATTTGATAATATATAACAAAAGGTTTAAAAATAGAGACATCCCTTTGGCTTAATACTTTCAGAAGTAACTGGACACATGGACTAAGAAGCACAAATAAAGTTGCTGACTGCTATGCTGTACATGGTGAAAACCTGGAGACAACTTTAAAGACAATCAATAGAGAGAGAGGTGGTTAAAAAACTATGTTACAATCATACAACAGAGTACTATGCAGCTATTAGGTTGAGGTAGACATAAACTAGTATGTATGGGAAGATGTTCATACATTAAGTGAAAAACAAAAAAACCGCTTTGCACAACAGCATGCATAATAAGATCTCACTTAAAAATGTTTATGTATGCATAGAATAAGCTTGGAAAAATATATATACCAAACTCAACAAATGATCATCTCTGGGATATAGATAATATGATTGCTTACTTTCTACAGTTTTGATTGCTTAGAACTTTTTTTTATAGCAAGCATATATAACTTAATATTGTAAAATGCACTTAATATCAAAAGTGATACATGCTTCTCTACATGCTAATTGGGAAATTAAAAATCAAGCAAAGAAGAATTTATAAGTAAGAGGAGAAACTATGACCTCAACCTTTAAAATCCTCTCTCTAGAAGTAGCCACTGTAAATGTTTTGGTCCTTTCAGATCTTTCTATTCATATATATAAGTATAATTACACATATATAACTTTTACTTTCCTCAAAAGTGGGATCACACTAAACATACAGTTATGCAACTTGAATTTTTTCACCTAATCGTGTATCTGGATATATCTTGTTTCATGTTAGTATGTGTATATTTACATTGCTCTCCTTAAACATTGCATAGTATTCCATGTTGTTGTTTAGATTACTTTTTTAATCAGAAAAGATGAAGCTATTTCTATTAAAACCAAACAAAAACCTAAGAAACTATGCAACCCACTAGCCTTGAGTGCCCCCTACTGGGGGCTCTTCATTGATATTAACAGAATGCTAAATTGCCAATAAATAGCAAGAAATAATTTTAAAATGGGGCACTACACTTTTCAGCACACGGCAAAAAAAAAAAAATCTAAAAACTCAAAAGAGAAAATTTATGTTTTGAAATGATTTTATCGAGGAATTTTTTACTTACTAATGATGTGTGTGTGTGCTAAGGACTCTGTAATCAGGGTAAAGACAAGATCAGTTTGACCTTCTCCCATCTCCCTCTCACACAAGTATTTTTCTTTTTATTGATTTATAATCATTTTACAATGTTGTGTCAAATTCCAGTGTAGAGCACAATTTTTCAGTCTTACATGAACATATATATATTCATTGAGACATTTTTTTTCTGAGCTATCATAGATCTTGTGTATATTTCCCTGTGCTATACAGTATAATCTTGTTTATCTATTCTACAATTTTGAAATCCCATCAGACAAGTATTTTTGTTTCAGTGGTGAGATGAGGTTGCAGAGTGGGAAGTGATGCAAATAGACAGTAAAAAAAAATTTTTACCTCACTCTTTTTTATCTCTTTACTTCTGAGCTTACCTTTACCTCTCACCTCACATTACAAATCTAGAAGAGTTAGCTCCACCTCCAAACACCTAGGTTAGTTACATTATGCAATTTTTCTAACCATCTGAGTCTGTGATTACACTCTATGTAATAATCAAAGACTCAAGAATAAAAGAAAAATGGGGATGCTGGAAGAGTTTACCTGAAAAACATGAAGTATGTTACAAAGAAAACACTGCAACTACCAAAAGTGGTATTATCTTATCAAAGTCCATTTTTATAATATGGCATCTTGATTATGCTTTTTTTTTTCCAGGAAAACTGATATACAACACTTATGACTGGAATTAACTTTTTTATACAAACCAAAGCAAAACTACATTCAAAACTGTGAGTCTATATTTGCTTTAGGCAAATTCTCTTTCTGCTGTTTCTAGACATTAACATTTTATATAATCTTGATTTTATAATAAAATTCTCCTGACTAATAATACTTACAGCTAATCTGTGATTATTTGCAAGGCTGATCAGTTGCTGGGCTAGGCCATTCAGTAATCGAGTACGAAGGGATAGGTCATCTAGGTCATGACGAAAAGGAAAAGCAATACCATCCACTATCACTAATCGAACCTAAATACAGAAAAGATAATGATATTAGGTTTGGTATTTAAAATAATAAATGGCAGCCAAAAAGCAGAGTCCATTACAGGAATAAAAAACCTTAAAATCCAGAGTTCTTACCTTGTAATAACCTATAATGAAAAAAATACGAAAAAGAATATGTTTATACATATGTATGTATGAATCACTATGCTGTACACCAGAAACTAACATGTTGTAAATCAACTATACTTCAACACCAAAAAAAAAAAATTCAGGGTTCTATTTCCAACTCTTCAAAAGCTTTATTTTGGAGAGTAATTAAATCTGTTTAACGCTTTCTGCACTAATCACCAAAAGTTAAAATATATTTTGGTTTGATAAGCTATCACCTTAAAAAAGTAATTTGACAAAAAGAAAAAGGAACAATTACAATCTTCCTATAGTGTGCCAATACACCCAGTTTTTACAGAGGTGCTTTACGTTGAGGAAAAGCTCTTCTGGAGTTGCAGTAAAATCAATTTCTCAATTAAACGTCAATTTTATCTCCCTGGTTCTTTTTACATTAAAAAAAAAACCTCTCAAATATTAACCTATAAAACTTTCTTCAAAAACTTAATTCTTTTTTCTTCTTAATTTAAAATATACCATAGGGCAACTAATCATTACAGAATCTATTATAACTAGAATTCAGCATGAGGCAGGTTTGTCTTGAATTCCAATCAAGAAGGTTTACTTATAGATGATAAACATTTTCAAGACGGTTTTGTTTGTAATATAGCCCAAATAATGGCTCCTATGGTGAAGTTAAGAGTAATATATAAACCTAAGATCCAAGAACAAACAGAAACTGGAAACTAACCCAAATATAAACAAACAAACTACACGATTGTATTTTTCTACCTAATTAAGACTAGGTTAAAGAAAAAGCTTTCGTGAGACAAAGCCATTTTTACATCTTTTCACTCTTTCATTCACCAGATATTTACTGACACATACTATATGCATCTAACAACAGAGCCCTAGAATATATAAAGCAAAAACTGATAAAATTAAAGGACGAAGACAGTTCTACAATAATAATTGGCAATTTCAATACCCCATATTCAATGATAGGCAAAATTGGACAAAAGATAAACAAGGAAAGAGAAGGCTTACCAACATTATAAATCAACTAAAACTAGCAAATAAATATATAGAACACTCTACTCAACAACAGCAGAATACACATTCTTCTCAAATGCACATGGAAAATCCTCCTGGACAGACTAGACGTTATGTCACAAAATAAGTCTCAATAAATTTATAAAGATGGAACCATACAAATTATCTTCTCTGACCAGAATCGAATAAAATTAGAAACCAAAAGCAGAAGGACACTTGAAAAATTCACAAATATGTGGAAATTAAACAACACATTCTTAAATAAACAATGAGCCAAAGAACTCCCAAAGGAAATTAGAAAATACTTAAAGTTGAACGAATGTGAAAAAATACACCAAAATTTATGGATACAGTGAAAGTAGTACTCAGAAGGAAATATACAGCTCTAAACAGCTATATTAAAAAAAGAAACAAAAAAGATCTCAAACCAATAACCTAAACTTCTACCTTAAAAAACTAGGAAAAGAACAAACTTAATTCAAATAATGTAGAAAGAAGCAATTAAAAAAAAGTGGAAATAAATATAGACAAGAAAGAAACAGTTGAGGAAATCACTGAAATCAAAAGTTTATTCTTTGAAAAGATCAACAAAATTGACAATCCTTTAAATTGAGAAAAAGAGAGAAGACTCAAATCACTCAAATCAGGAACGAAAGTAGGGACATTACTCCCAACCTTATATAAATAAAAAAACTCAAAGAGAAGATATTGAACATCTGTACACCCCAAAATTAGATAACCCACATGAAATGGACAAATTCACCAAACGACACAAAACTACCAAAACAGACTGAGGAAGAAATAGAAAATCTGAATGAAACAAGAGATTGGATCAGTAATCAAAAGCCTTCTAACAAAGAAGAGACCAGGATCAGTTGGCTTCACTGGTGAATTCTATGAAATGTTCGAAGATTTCACACCAATCCTTCTCAAACTATTCCAAAAAGTACAGAAGGGAACTTCCTAACTCATTCTATGAAGCCAGTATGACACTGATATCAAAGTCAGACAAAAACATCACCAGCAAAGAAAACTACAGACCAATTTCAGATGTAAAAATCCTCAACAAAATACTAGCAAACTAAATCCTGTAGTATATTTAAAAAAATTATATTACCATGATCATGCAGGTTTTATTCTAGGATAGCAAGGTGGTTCAATATGAAAATCAATCAATGATTAAACGTACCAGATTAACAGAATGATGGGGAAAAAGAGCCACATGATCTTCTCAATTGATTCAGAAAAAGCATTTGACAAAATCCAACATCTTTCATGATAAAAAATTATCAATAAATTAGGAATAAAAGAGAGCTTCCTCAACTTGATAAAGAGTCCACAGCTAATATCATTAAGTTAGTTTTCATAATTTGTAGTTTTATGTTTTATAAAGTCATCAAAAACACTGACTGAGGGAATACTGAACCATTGCTCCTAGGGGAAATACAGGGCCAAGTTTCTGTGAGCTTCTGATCACATTTTTGTCAACTGATCAATATACAACCATATCTTATGTGTATTTCTACCTAAAAACATTTAATATATAATGTTGATCCATTAACACTGAAGTTGTCGCCAACATGGTAAGTCATGCATGAACAATGCTTATCTAACATATGTATTTTCTCCATAAAGTACATCACACCCTTCTTCTGTTGAGGAACAACAGATAGCACTTCAGCACTGCTTGAGGTATATGTTAAACAGTGGAAGTATCAATAAAATGCAAAAAAAGATGGCATTTAATCAACCATATAGAAGACACTGCCTCACAGTATGAATTGAAACAAGGTAGCAGAGAATCACCTTGTTCAATCTCAGCTAGGAACATGTGTGTTAGGAGACTCAAATTTTATGCCACTTAACTTGTTCATTACTATGTACTGAATTAACGTCTCCACAAAATTCGTATGTTGAAGACCTAACCAAGTACAATATAATTGTACATGAAGACAGGGCCTCTAAGGAAGTAAGGTCAAATGTGGTCAAAAGGGCAGGGCCCTGATAAGACAGGATTCAAGTCCTTAAAAGGAAAGGTACCAGAGAGCTCACTCTCTTGCTCTGCTATGTGAGGATACTGCAAGAAGGTGGCCTTCTGGAATCCACAAAGAGCCCTTGCCAGAAACAGAATCAGCTGTAACCTTAATCTTGGACATCTAGCCACCAGAACTGTGAGAAACCAAATTTTTGCTGTTAAAGCCAAACAATCTAAGATATTTTTATGATGGCAGCCTGAGCTGCCCAATACATCTATAAATGACTGTGAAAACACTGGGGGTATTGTTTTGGGATTACGAATAAATTTTAGCAAGTAGTTAAATTCACATTTATAGAATCTGCAAGTAGTGAAGATAAACTGTTCTTAATGCTGATAGACTGAAAGCTTTCCCCCAAGATCAGGAACAAGACAAGAATGCCTGATTTTATTACTGTTTTTCAACATTACACTAGAAGTTGTAGCTAGAGCAATTAGTTAATAAAAAGAAATAAAAGGCATTCAAACAGGAAAGTAAGATATAAAAATCTCTATTCATAGATGACATAATCTTATATATAAAAAATCCTGAAGAATCCACAAAAAACTACTAAACCTAATGAACAAATTCAGCAAAGTTGAAATATCCAAAATCAACTTACAAAAATCAGTTGCATTTCTTTTCCTTTTTGAGGAAGAGAAGGAGGAGGAGGTAATTAGGTTTATTTTAATGGTGGTACTAGGGATTGAACCCAGGACTTTGTGCATGCTAGGCACATACTCTACCACTGAGCTATACCCTCCCCCCATCAGTTGTATTTCTATCCCTAGCAATAAATAATCCAAAAATGAAATTTAAAAAAATTCCATTTACAATACCATCAAAAAGAATACTTAGGAATACTTGTATACTAAAAGCTACAAAACACTGTTGAAAGAAATTAAAGAAGACCTAGATAAATAAAAATATCATATGTTCATAGATTAGAAGACTTAATATTAAAATAGCAATATACTCAAGAAATTAAAGAAGACCTAGATAAATAAAGATATCATATGTTCATAGATTAGAAGACTTAATATTAAAATAGCAATATACTCAATCTACAGATTCATTGTACTTTCTGTTAAAAGTCCCCACTACATTTCTGCAGAAGTGGACAAATCTCCATTCACATGGATCAAATTCATATGGAATTGCAAGGAGTCTTGAATAGCCTAAACAATTTTGAAAAGAAACAACAAAGTTGGAGGACGCATATGTCCCAATTTTGAAACATACTAAGAAGCTACAGTAATCAAAACAGTGTGATATTGGCATAAAAATAGATACATACATCAATAGAAGAGAGTCCAAAAATTAACCCACACATTTATGGCCAACTGATTTTCAACAAGGATGCCGAGCCCATTCAATGGGGAAAGAATTGTCTTATCAATACGTAGTGCTGGGACAACTTGATATCTATACGCAAAAGAATGAAGGAGGACACTTATCTCAACCTATGTATGAAAATTAACTCAAAATGGATCAAAATCCCAAATAAAAGAGTTAAAGCTATTAAACTTAATGGGGTTCAGGACATGCTATCCCCAAATATGGTACTTTGGCATACTGTAATATGATAAGCTAAAGGAGTTTGAGAAAATGGTTGAAGCAGGAAAGGTCACTTAATTTCCCTCCCTTGCTCTTCTTCCCTGAAAGCAGGAGATAAATCTCTGGTGAGAAAGGTACTCTCCCTGTCCTAGAAGGAAGGGAGACCTTCCTTATCACCAGAGACAGGGAATTGAGGGCTGAGAAGGCTGCATAAACAAACCTTCTTAAACTAATCCCTATCTTCCAAATTACTGTAGTTCTTCGTAATTGTCCACCTCTAGCCCCAAACTCTGTCTCATTAATTCCTTACAAACATATTGTTTCTTTGTCTAAAAGGTAAAAGCTTTCTGCACTGCTTACTTCTTCAGGTCTTCATTTTCTTGTACATTTCTTGTACAAGGCTCCCATATACATGTAAAACTTCAATAAAATGTATGTGCTTGTCTCCCATTATGCTGTCTTCAACAGTTCAATTTTCAGACTCAGTCAGCAATCCTAAAACGGTCAAGGAAAACTTTTTTCTCCCCTATAAACTCTCAAGAGTAAATTTTCATGATTGTGGATTTGGCAATGGATTCTTACATATGACACCAAAAACACAAGCAACAACCAATAGATAAACTGGACTTCATCAAAATTTAAAACTTTTGTGCATCAAAGGAAACTATCAAGAAAGAGAAAAGAAAATCCACAGGATGGAGAAAAGGTACTTATAAGAAAACAAATGACTTTTTGGAAGGATAAATGGGCCCATAGGAGAACAGATGGGAGATCTGATAGTTCTGTGACAATGTCTATCTTGGTGAAAGTACCATGTAAACTTGAGAAGAATGTGTATTCTCCTGTTGCTGGATAAAGTAGTCTATAGATATCCACTACATCCAGTTGATTGATTGTGTTCAACTATGTCGTTCTGGATCGGTCCATTTCTGATACAGAAGTGTCGAAGTCTCCATATAAGTGAATTTGTCTATTTCTCCTTGCAGTTCTATCAGTTTTTATCTCATGTAGTTTGATGCTGTGTTGTCAGGCACATACAAGTTAAGGACTGTTATGTCTCCTTGGAGGAATAATGTAATGTTCCTCTTTATCTCTGATAACTTTTCTTGGTCTAAAGTCTGCTCTCTGAAGTAAATATAGCTACTCCCACTTTATTTTGATGAAGTGTTAGCATAGTATATCTTTCTCCAATCATCTGCCTTTAATCTACGTGTATCTTTATACTTAAAGGGGTTTCTTGCAGACATCTAGTTAGGTCTCGTTTTTGATCCACTGGTATGACCTTTTTGAAAGGCAATTTATGTTAAAGAAAATATTATTCTGACACTTGTTAAAATAGTAAGGAAGATTTTACCCAAGAATATTGCAATAGGGATACTGCAATAGGGGAAAGAGATCAAGCTCAATCCCAGATACAGCAAGGACAAGAGGGGATTTATAGCTAAAGAGCAGTATGAGGGTGTCGAACAGAAAATTACTAAGAGGAAACACCAAAAGTAGGACTCTTGCTAAAGGCAGGCCAAAGACATATATACATCAAAGGTGGGGAATGAAGAACTTGAGATATCAAGGGTGATCAGATGTCAAGGGTAGGGGATTCTCTCTAAACTAACTTAGCAGGATTCCTTGCTCTTGTACACTCATATTCTTAGCAACATTCACAACAATGAACTGGGCTGCTTAGGCCAAAGATAGGATGTGGGTCAAGGTAAAGGCCTATTTAAAAAGAGGGCTCACAGGAGGCTAATTAAAGTTGGGTCAAGGAGAGTCTTTGTCATGTGAAATGTTTATCAAAATTAAAGATGCACATACTTTTTAATATCACAACTCTAATACTTAGAATTTATCCCATGAATATACTCACAAATGTACCCCAAGATCTATGTGTAAGGATTATTTCCAAACAATTGTTAATAATAGCATCTCAAAGTCCACCAATAGAGGATTGCTTAAAGGTACCTACTCCCCCATTCATTTTTATTGTGGTAAAATGCACATAACATAAAATGTACCATCTAAATCATTTTTAAGTGTACAGTTCAGTGGTATTAAATACATTCATAATGTTGTGCTACCAGTTCCAGAACACTTTTTTCTTTCTTTCTTTTCTTTCCCTTTCTCTCTTTCTTAATTGGAGGTACTGGGGATTAAACCCAGGACCTCCTGAGGGTTCAATCCCCAGGATCTTAAATTAAAAAAAAAAAACCCAGAACACTTTTCATCTCATAAAACCAAAACTCTATACCCATTAGACAATAACTCCCCACTCTCCTCTTCCCCCAGGCCCTGGCAACCACCACTCTACTTTCTGTAAGTCTGACTACTCTTGATATCTTACATCAGTAGAATCATATAGTATGACCTTTTTTGTGACTGGCTTATTTTACTTCACATAATGTCCTCAAGATTCATCCATGTTGTAGCTTATGTCAGAATTTCTTTCTTTTTTAAGGCTGAATAATATTCCACTGTATGTATATACCACATTTGCTTATCTGTTCATCCATCAATGGACATGTGGGTTACTTCCACATTTTAGCTATTGTGAATAATGCTGCTATGAGTAAGAGTGTACAAGTATCTCTTCAAGATCCTGCTTTCAATTCTTTTGGGTATAAACCCAAAAGTGGAATTGCTGGATCATATGGTAATTCAATTTTCAATTTTTTGAAACTGCCATACTGTTTTCTATAGTGACTGTACCATTTTACATTCCCACCAATGGTGAAAAGTACCTTCTTAAAATAACATGCAGCTGAAAAAAGAATGAGATCTAAACATATGTGCTGATACAGAAAAATATGCAAAACACTAAGCCAATATGGAAGGTGCAGAATATTACAGAATATTCCTATTAAAAAATATTAAGAATGGGGAGATATAGCAATATACATAAAACTTTTTTGAAGGGGGCAGGTATACCTCAGTGGTAGAGTGCATGCCTAGCATGCACAAGGTTCTGGGTTCAATCCCCAATACCTCCATCAAAAGGTAAATAAAAACCTAATTACCCCCCAACCAAAAAAATTTTTTTTAATTGTTTTTTGAGAAGACAGACAAGAAACTATTAATAATGAGAGTGATCAACTTTGAAAAGAGGAGGCAGTAGCAAAGAGAAGTTTTATTTTTTATTTTATACCTTTTTATACAGTTTGTTAGATAGGAGCTACTCCACCATTACTCAATCAAGAGGTAGAATCTCTTTCATTATTACTTTAATTTCCTACTTTGGATATAAAACATATATATGTATATATACATACATATATACATAAAATACATGTAAATATAAATAAATTGTAGAACAAGGAAGAGATTTTCTCAATTGGTTTATACTACTGTACTATTTACTTGCTAATCAAACATGTCCAAAGATGCTTAGTCACATTTCAGTAGTTTGGGCCATACCTTTGGGTGTTCTGAAAGGAAGTCTGGAAGGAGATAAACTTGTGCCAGTAACTCTGTGTAGTCATGACAACGAAAATAATATATATGGGAAAGAATATTTTCAAGAGTGAAATCCTGCAAAGCTTCTGGGTGCTCTGAAATAAACAACAAAACAATTTTAAACAATCTTAAAATAACAAGCTTTACCTGTTTTGATATATTGGTGATTGTAGAAAAACAATACTTTTGAACAGCAAAATGTTTCACTGTGAATAACAAATCTCTTTTTAATTGAAAGATGATAAAATTGTAGCAAAATTACTATAAACTATCATAACTTCTGACCTCTTGTTTTCACCTTTCCCACTGATTCCTTATATACTGGGCTACCTAGAAGTAGTTTATACATGTTTACAACTAGATTTTTAATGCCTGCCTTTTCATATTTCCAGTTATCAGCTTCCATTAAATACAAGTAACATAATGGAATTTCTCTTTCTTGTTTTTCTCATAGGACTCCAAACTAAGAATTAAAAAGGAAAAATGTTCAAAAGAAGCATATTCTTCCTTTAAATGCCATAGTATACTTTGATATTTATGTAGGAACAATGATATAAAATTAAATTCCCTCCTTAGATTGGATTTTTTTAAATAATCAGATTGATTTTGTACATATTTCAGAGAGAAACCATTTAAAAATCATTGCATTTTAAAATGCACTTGTTTTAAAATTAAAATATCAAGAAATTAAATTTCAGAAAACATTGCCTAACACACATATACATTTTAGAAGTTCAATTTTAATCAAAAAATAACAGCTTAATCACACACCAATCATTAAAAACTCTCTATTCCAAAGCTACATCCACAATATCTACAATATGATCTTAAGACACTATTACAAATTACACCTGTGACATGGGTAGTTTGAGGGACTTTCAGTAGGTATATTGGTTCCTAGTTAAAAAGGACAACAAATACTCCAATGAAAATCAAAATATATAGCTGATTATATTTATTTAAAGGGAATACAAACATGTTATGAAAAGCCTTATACTTTTTTAAAAACTTCTAGAGAAAAGAATAAAGACCGTACACCTGAAAAATAAAGCAAAAACTTCCCAACACTTTAACAATAAACACAGTCATGAAGTCAATTACATACTACTCAGAGCCACATAAGGTCAATCAGCCTAATGTTCCAAACATTTCTAGACATGATTTTTTCAAAGTCATCCTTGGTTTTTGGAAAAATAAGTATGAAAGTCAATATACACTGAATGCATTGAGACAACATTTACTTATATTAAGGTGTCCAACATTAGCTTACACCTGGCAACTCAGATCATAATAATTTTGAAGTCATTCATTGAAATACACAAAGGTTTCGCTCCAGAGCTCTTTCAGTAAGAAGTGAGGGCCTTAAAAGGGGAAGAAAAGGCCAGTCCAGACTGTGGCATTTCTCATTTTGTAAGAGAAGTATGAGAGTAGTATGACTAGTACACTGTTAAATCATCAAGCTTCACATTCCAAATGGTCTGCTGCTAAGGCTGAGACAGATAGAAATGCAAATTACTTTTACTATACAGAAAAAGGAGGTGCACTTGCTAACTTACCTTCTGCCATCTGTGTTCCTGCTATAAGCTGTAGATGCTGAATACAGGCAGTAGCAAGGTCTACCACTCTATCAACCATAAAACTTCCCTCTGTATCAATAAAAACTGCTTCACCTTCCACTCCTCCAAAACATTCTGGTATCTGCACATCTATTGCCAACTGCATACTATCAAAATAAGTGAAATGACCAAATCATTATCATGATCATCAAAGACAGTGTTTTTCCAACTCCAGATCACCACTCATTAGATACCACTAAATGTTTTATAGGCACAAATATAATCTCCAAAGCAACAGAGATAGCTAACTCTCCGTGCATCCAAAGATGTGAATCAATTGATGCTTCGATTAGGGGGAGGGTGTACCTCTAAAACCAAGGTTAAGGACTTTTCAGTGGTTTTTAGGGTTCTGGGAATGGAACCTTTTCTTATTATACATAAATCTAATTTCAAACTTTTGACTTTAAAATGTATCCTTAAGAATTATTTCTATAATAAAGTAGAAGACTGCCTGTTTACCCTACTGGCCACACTATACTGTTGCAAAAGAAACATTTTTTAATATCAAAATAATTGTATCAATTTATCAAGATGGGGTGCTGAAGTAAGGCAAAGGGTAAGTTGATTTGTTTGATGTACACATACACACAAAATTAAGAACACATACATGCCTTTTTTGGTCTCCTAACTGTATACCCACAACACAATACTACTTACATAAAATGTTATTAAGCCTATTCTTAAGAGAGGAACATTTTATTTTACCATAATTGTGTTTTTCCAACACCTGGTGCACCACAAATCTCTGTTGTTTTGGTTAAGGGTATTCCACCCCCAAGAATATTATCTAATGCTGAACAGAAGGTAATTATGAAGTTCTGGGTATGCTCCTGCTCAAGAAGTTCCAGTGCTGTATACTTCTTGCCTGACTCAGCTGTACCAGGATATCTCGTTTTATTTGTGAGACATTCTCTTCTTATAATTTGCAGAGTTTCCAAGGCTTCCTCTTTAGATATTCCAACTTCTGAAAGTAAGAAACAAAAACAAAAACAAAAACACCAGATTTTAGAGATTTAAAATGGTTTAATATGCTATTGGACTGTGTTCATTAATTTTAATTTTCAAATAACAAGAGTGATGCCAAGAATAGCGAAACATAAAAATGTAACATTCGATTAACTATTTATCAAGTTAATAAAGGCATTAATAAAGGCATTAACCTATGGTTTCTTAGTGTTCACATACTTAAGATTTATCTATTACCTCAGAAACAATTCAGAAACCTAAACCTCTAGAGCATTTCTGAGTAACTAGAAGAGAATCTCAGGAGGTAGAAATGAAACTGTAGTTTTTTTCTTTTGGTCCTTTTACTAATTCTTTGGTCTTTTTACTATCTCTTTTGGTCTTACAAAACCGTAATTAACTTGCAATCATAAAGTATACAGATTGTTTTTTGAAAAAGAATGAAAATGGCCTCTTTAACTGCCTAAAACAAAATGCAACTTTAAGGAGTACATTTGCTTCTATTACTCATAATGAAACTTTTGATGAATACAATGGAATGAAAAACTCATGGATCATTCCAAAGTATTTAATGAGAATAGTTATTTGATGCACAAATATTTTAAACAATACACTTATGCTTCCTCAACTACATAATTACATTACTATCTGACAATATGGCCTGAGAAGCAAATTACAAAACAAGCTGCCTATGGAGAAAACAACGGTGAGGATAATATGAGTTTGGTATATCAGTGCTTGACTTGGTAAGGATATGAACTATAAATCTGGAGACAACAATGGTGCTGAGGAAATGAAAATCCCATTCAATTTAAGAGCCCTAACTCTGGAGTCAGATTACTTAGGTTTGTCAATCCTGCCTGCACCACTTACTCTGTAGTCACTATGCATGGGCAAGTTACTTTTTCATGCCTCAGACTCTTCTGTAAAATGAGAATGAAACAATACATGTAAAAACCTTGGTAGAAAAGGCCATCCAAAATGCTCAATAATTAACTATTATTATTATTCAGATTCTCTCATTTTTTGTAAAACCAACTTGTTGAAAGAAGAGCCCTTTGAACTTGGGGGATACAGCCTTTGTTTTAAGACTTAAAACAGTTAACCTTAGGTCTGTAACATTTGTTCTTGAGTGAGAGTTGAAACCTTATTTTCCACTGTTAAGGGCAATGACTTAACTCTCTTCTATGTTAATAACACAGTACGGCATACTGTAGTGTAATGTGCACAAGTGAGAGTGACCGCAGACAGCTTCATTTTTGTATGCCTCAGGAAGCAGTGGCTCCCACCAACATATAATCTATAATGTTCTGGCATGTAAGGTTTGGGGTTTTTCAGTGAATTGCATTAAGAGAAGCGATGTCTTCTTTTCTACTGGTCTCTCCAGGTTCTGGGGATTCTACTCCCTTTTACACTCTTAATTTATCTAAGCCTATCACGAATCCTGCGTTCCTTAAATTTAATCCCCGCCCCTTGGGTTTTGGAACAGCAAAAATTAGCCTGCCTGGATTCCAATACTGGCTCCAGAACTTCCTAACCCACCCATAATTCAGTTACTTAACTTCCCCAAATATCAGTTCCTTCATCTATATACTGGACATAATCCACGAAAGACGGTTCTTTGAGCATAGATGAAATAATCCTCAGAGCTTTCAGCAGGCACTGGCAGAGAAAGTAATTTGTGAAAGTTTTCAAGACCATAGTTTTCTAACCCACGCTTAAGTGGAGCAGCTGTTTCACGTTGTAAACGCGGCTGTGGGCGGCAGCAGAATCTGAAGCCTTAAGTCAGGAGAACGGAGATGAAGGCGGCACAGTCGGCGGCCAGAGCGCCTCAGCTTGCGTCGGGAGTCGTTACCTTTGCTGAGCTCGGAAGGTTTCACCTCTAGGAGTTCCTCAGCAGTCTGGAAACCTGCAGACACCAGCTTCACCCGCACAGACGGGGACAAAGGAAAACTCACTAAATCCCGCTGCATTTCAAAGGCAAACACCTACGCGCGCAGCAGCGGAGACCCAAAGTCGCCAAAGCCCGCGCGCCAGCGCCGGGCTGCGCCGTATGACGTCAGACGTAAGGCAGAAGGGGCGGGGTCGGCAGCCTGGCTGCACGAGGCCTTGGGCTTTTCCGCTCAGCGGAAGCCTACTAAGTTTTTACACGTTGGCACAGTTTCCATTGTGATTCTTCGTAGCCCCATTTAGAGTTTGTACATCAAAAGCTCATCCTGACCGTAAACAGATGGATGGAGACCGCAAGATGCAGAGTTGTACTACTTTCCTCACCTCCACCCTGACCCCTTGGGTGGAGGCCTCAGAGTTGTTAGTAGGAATGATCTCCCCTAGTGGGACTAGCAGACTCACTGGCCAGTTACCGGTTTGGGGTATCTAACAAGATTAATAAAGATTAATCTCCATCCTCGTTATAGGGTTCCACTGTATTGAGTCTCCTTGCGGCTGCCCCCCTTGCCTGCCCCCGTCGCTTTTCCCGCCCTCGCCCTCGCAAGGGATTGTGGGTCAGCCCCCCACACCCACGGGGCGCACTCGGCGCCGAATCCCCGCACCCACCAACGTCTTCCTGCGAGTCGAGTTCGGAACATGGTGGTTTCTGAGACTGTTAGTTCTTCACGGCCTGCCCAGAAGTAGCTGGAAAAGTAAGCAAGTAATGTCCCCACAGCGGGTTGGGCTCCCCCGGTCCTGAGAGGGAGGAGTTGGGCTACGCAAGAGCTCCTGTTCTGGTACAGAGTTGGGAAGGGACCACTTCTAAAATAGAGAATTTTGAGGGAATTGAGAGGCGGTTTGGAAGGTTTTCTTGCCTAGAAGAGTATAATGTATGTAAGGGAGTAACTCATTCCCTACCTTTTGGTTACAATTCTTATTCTAGACTTTTCTTCCCAGCTGAAAAGAACTCCTTAAACATTGCAAATCAGAGCCTTTTAAGTACGTAAGATCTAAGGAAAGAAACATGTTGACCACCTTAGCAAATCCTACACATTTAAAATGCTCACAGCCGTGCCATGAGGAAAACAAGAACGCGGCAGCTCAGAGCACAGGTTTCTTGAAGCCGAAGTTAAAACCTAGCACCTTTTTTTCTACTGCCACCTACCTCCAAATTGTGAGACAGCTCTTGGGGTGGGGGTGGGGGGAAATTTCCAGAAGTATTTTTCCCTCATTTGGTAGGGCAGTGAAAATCTGGTAGGAAATACGGTTGATTTGCCACTGTACATTGCTTAATTTCTGCGTATCTGGACTTACAGGGAGCGTTACAAAAATGTCCTCCCACAGGGAGAATTCAGGTTTATGCTTATAAAGCAACCAGGCTCTTGGGTGAAGAAGAGATGATATAACACATTGAGGGATAGCTCTTCAGGTAGTTTGGTCATACTCAGTGCAGTCGGTCGTGTTTAGAATTGTGTTTCATTGGCAGTGGAGAGTAAAGAAACTAGTCTTATCTGTAGCTATACTGTTATGTGTTGTTAGTATCTTATTCGCACCCTTGATTTGCTATAATAATTATTGCTTTCATCATCATTCTTAAGATTTCTTTTATGCAGTTTGTCTATAGTCAGGTTTTCAAACTGGGATCCAGCTTTATAAGGCCAGGCGCCAGGAACTGAACAAAGCTGTGAAATTTTTATGGAAGGTGCACTTTCCTATACTGTCAGTTTTTCTCAAATATTTCTTTGGAGAGGGAAGAGTTGAATAATTTAAGTGGTGAGCCATTTAAAATGTTTTGTATTAAATAAGCATTAATATATTGTAGAGTAAAATGCAAATATAAAAATAAATTTTAAGATAAACATGAGACTTTGAAGAAAGATCCAGTTCAAACTGGATGCTTCAGTAGTCTTCCAAATCCTCCTGGGAATGTTATTATTGGCCTCTTCGGTTTGGGAATACTGGATTTTGAGAAGCAAGCATAACAGGTATGAGCTTTGAAGTCATACAAATTTGGGTTTGTATCACATCTCTGGATATTACCAACTGTGGGACTTTCAGCAAGTTACTCAGTTTCCTCACCTGCAAATGGAAGATAATATTTCATGGGGTTGTGGGAAAGATTAAATTAATAAATATAAAGTACTTAGCACAGAAAAGGTACATAAATCTTAAGTTTTTTCTCTATTTAAAAATATTCTAATATGTGTATTTGGTTGAATAAAGCCTTATTGAACACCTAGCTCAGCAGAATGCTAATGCTGTGAGCCTTTTTTTAAAAACTACCTGCAGTTGTAAGGTGCCAAAGAAATATGCTTTTACCTCTTATTTTATTTGACTTGATCCTTACAGTAATCCTGTGAACAGTTTCCTGGGGTCCCCATTTAAAATTAACACATTTAAGATTGGATCACTTAAGCAAGGTTAAATATTTAACTGCTAGGTTTTGCAGGCTGACAGGGCAAACAAAAGAGTCTGTGGGCTCATGGAGCCTATAATCAATCAGGATTATTGTGGAGTATTTCTGACTTGTGTTGCATTTCTGACTTGTGTTATTGTCTAGATATAATACTAAGGATAGGAATGAGGTACCAATATGCTGTCAATATCTATAATTAAAGTATTTAAATAACAAGACATTTTCATGCTCACTGGGGGGTGGGGAATGGGGAAGCCCCTTAAAAGGAGGAGAACCCGGAAGAGTGGTTCTTGTCTTCTGGCTGTGAAAGAATTCACAGTGGAGATAAAGGGGCAGAGTGAAAGCTGCTCTACTGCTCAAATAAAAGGAAAAGAGGAGAAGACACTCGACACTTGGGTAGAAAGACACTCAAGCAGAGGAACTCTAAGCCCAGGTGGCTTGACATAACAACTCCCACTTTTAGAGTCCCCGGCTGGGTCCTTTTATTCCTCTTTGTTGTGGCTTCTTTTGTCTCCTCATTGGCTGCCCTTTTCCTGCTTGCTTTCCAGTTTGTTCTGCTCTGTGGAACAAACACTCTGCAAAAACATGATAAGTCACCCTCAAACAATGTGGTCAAGCTAGGTTGAGCAAGCAAGGCAAGCAAGTGGGTTCCTTAAACAGTATGGAAAAAGAAATCAGATCATGTCAGGGCTTTGTGTTTCCGCAAGGTAGCTTTTTCCATTACTCAGCAGAAGCATTTTCTGGAGTCAGCTATAGCTTAATTTTAAATTTTAAAGAAGTCTCTAGGCAACAGGTCCCAGTTTCAGTTCCCTAGCTCTCTGTCTCCTTCAGCTGGGCTATTTTCTAGAGATGTGGGGGAGAAATCATCTGAATATTTTTGTTACACCTGAGGAGAGGTTTATTTTCTTTTAGCCTAAGAACATGGAAGTTTTAAAAATGGTGACCTTGCGTGTTCAAGTGAATTTGGGCATAGGAAAGATAAATGAGTGCTGTCTGGACTAAGGAAAAACTCTGAATCTAGGCTTGGCTTTAGAGATGGTTGTGGTAAATCTTAAGGCCTCAAACATTTATATTTGGAATAGCAATATCAAAATTACACAAGGCCTAATACAAAATAGGAGCTTAAAATATTTGTTGTCCACCAACTCTTAAAATGTTGTTCTCACTTGACTTCTGAGATGCTACACTCCTGATTTACTTCCTACCCATCTGGCTTTTCTGTCTCCCTTCCAAGTTTGTCCTCTATAACCTGGGCATGAATGTTACAATTCTTTTAAGGCCCTATTGCTGACTTCTCACTGACTGTCCTCGTTCTATTCTCTCCTCTCTGATTCTCCCATCCTCTATCTTTCTCTCTGCTATCTTATTCATATTCACAGTTCAGTGACTATGTATATGTCAGTGATTCGTAAATTTATTTTTCTAACTCTGACCTGTTCTCGGACCTCCAGATGCAAATATCTAATATGCATACAGCGCGATGCTAAATCTCCAACTATCTTAAACCTAACTCATTATCTTCAGCCCCTAAAACCTTTTGTCCTCTTCAGGCATTCCTTGCCTCTAAATATCCTTCCATCTGCACAAAACAGAAACCTAGGAATCATCCTCCACACCTCCTTCCCTTTAACTCTCCATATTCAGTATATCCACAAACCCTATCAATTTTCTCCCTAAAATATCTCAATTATGTTCATGTCTCCTTCTCTAGGCCAAGCTGTCACCATTTCATTTACAGGTACTGCGAGGACCTTTTAGCTGGTCTCTCTGAATCTTGTCTTCCCCTCCCCTCTAGACTGTTCTCCCATGCTACAGGCTGGGGGTTCTTTCTAGAGTGTATTTCTGTTCACATAACCCCCTATATTGATCTTAGAATAAAGATCAGATTTCTTAAGGAGACTTACAAGAAGCCTTGCATGTTCTGGCTCCTGTTTACTTCTTTAGCTGAAACCTTTCCATCTCTCCTCTTTGCTCTTTATACTCCAGCCACCCTGATCTTAATTCCTGTGTGTGCCAGACCTCATCATACAACAAAGCCTTTGCACATGGCCTCTCTGCTTCACTTAATTAACTATTTATCCTTCATATCTCAGTATTCATTGACCCCCTTCTCTGACCCTGAACCTGTCCCTTTAACAACCCCCCTCAAGACTAGGTTAAATCTCCCGCCTTAAGGCTCTCATAGCACCAAATGTCTTTGTGTGATCATTTATTTAACACATGAGTCCCCAAGTAGAATGAAAGACTCAGTAGAACAGGGACCAGGTGGATTTTACTCATTGCTGTTTTCCTAGGGCCCCAGCCCAGTGTATGGCTTATAGGAGGTGCTCAGTATATGTTAGAAGAATGGATGGTTAGATGATTGACTGGCCCCTCTCTCCCTATTTTTTTCTGTTTTGTACTCTTAAATATGATGGAAAGTATATTCTTGTAGAAAGTATCTACTTGTAGAAAACAAATAAAATACCAAAAATGTAAAGAATGTAAAACTAATTCATAGACCTTTTCGGTTTTATTTTTTAAATTGTAGTTGATTTACAGTGTTTCAGGTATATAGCAAAGTGATTCAGTTATACATATATCTATATATTCTTTTTCAGATTCTCTTCCATTCTAGGTTATTACAAGATATTAAATACAATTCCCTGTGCTATACAGGAGGTCTTTGTATATATTTTATATATAGTAATGTGTATCCATTAACCCCAAATTC